GGAGAAGAGGAGACTGAGAGGTGACCTCATTCATGTCTGTAAATATGTAAAGGGAAAATGTCAGGAAGATGGAGCCAGGCTCTTCTCAGTAGGACAAGGGACAACGGGTGCAAGCTGGAGCATAGGAGGTTCCATGTAAACATAAGGAAAAAGTTTTTCACTGTGAGAGTGATGGGGCACAGGCTGCCCACAGAAGTTGTGGAGTTTCCTTCTCTGGAGACTTTCAAAACCTGCCTGGACGTGTTCCTGTGTGACCTACTCTAGGTGATCCTTCTCTGGCAGGGTGGTTGGACTAGATGATATTTTGAGGTCCCTTCCATCCCTAACATTCTGTGATTTTAGACTGCTGTGATGTGAGGTTAATTTTCATCAATCCTGTTAGTTCTTTCTGAAACACTGGCCGTAGTCTTGCAACATGTTAAAATCCACGAGGAAAGTTTTATTAAGTCAATTGAAGTTTGTCATATAAGGATCATCTATAATTATTCTAGAGGAAATCAACATTTATTTAAAGCAAAGAAAAATAAGGAGGAGCAATTAGGGAAAATGACTCAGCAGCTCACTACAATTCTCTGGTTAGTAAGTAATTTGTTATTTATAGTACACTAGCAAGCTCCGAGTGACAGATGTGCAATGAAACGAAAACCCCTACCAACACATAGGAGATAGTTCCAGCCTCAGTGGATGTGCAGTTTTATTTAAAACAAGACTGTTAATGAAGATGAGTAAACACTAAGTTTATATGAGGACAGGAGAGAAGAGGGGTGAAAAAAAAGGGCAAAAAATTTCACAATATACACTAATATGAAAAATAATAAGAAAAGTACATTGATGTGCTTGCTCTCTGTCATCTCTTGGCTTCTCTGGCGTTGCAGTTGGACAATCCACGCTGCACCTTCAAAGCTTTTAGGTTTGTGTCCCCAGGATGCCAAAATTCTCCACCTGTGTTCTGAGCAGTTTCTACAAACTGCATAGTAGATGGAACTCGTACTCCCTGGGAAGATAAATGCTGTTGTGGAAAAAAAATATGTCACTTAATTTGTTCCCATTTCTTTACCACCTGCTGCTTTGTTATGCTTTCAGGTGCGTAGAATGCTTACACTGTCTCTGCCATCTCATTTTTGTGTCTTTCTGTGCTGTGATGCTTTTTAGTGCTTGTATAATATTGTTTATAAAAAATTCAACCATTTATAAAGTGATTAAGGACCATTAATGTTAAGAAATGTGTTACTCTTTTTTTTCTTCCACCAGAGGACTAAGAAGTATCCCGTCTATTATGGTTTCGTAGGTGAAGGTATTTGTGGATTAAAAACAATAAGGTAATGAAGTGTTCCTGTAAAGAGCAGCACCATGCATCTATACTCCCTGGTTATTATTTCATAATTTTTCTAACATAAATTATTATATAGTTGTCAAGCTAATAAATTCCATGCAAATGTAATTGATCTAAATATGATAGTTTTGAAGAAACAGTATTTTGTTTTACATTACAGAGTATAAGCTGGTATATTTTCCTGTAGATTCGCATTGCTTTTATAAATTTTGTGTATTTAAGAAGCTGAGGTTTTGTGCTAATACCTTACCAATAGAAAGAAAGATTGAGTATATTTTGGCAAAATTGCCTGATAGCGTACCGATACCTGAGGTGTGGGATGGCAGTTACCAGTGTTGCTCGTAGCCAGTATACCCTGCCCACCAGAGTGGGCAGCTCTTGGAACAGACCGAGGGGTGACATAACTGGAAGTTGTTCTTATAACAACTTCTGGACTTCCTGGTTTTCCAGGAAAGGAGTGGACTGCAGGAACCGTGTCCCTCTTTTTTTATGCCCTTGCAGCCATGCATAGTTTATTTCCTGGCAGGCTGGTGGTTGCAGTGACTCTGCTTTTTGCCCTCACGCACACAAGAGTGATGTATAACTCAAATGTGCTTCTCCCTGTGCACAGGAAATAGCACTGTGATGCTAGGGTTGACAGGGTATCTTCTGCCATTATGCAGGCCATTGTGTCACCTAAACATGTTCCATTTAAGACAGATTTCCAGGCAAGTATGACATTGGGCCACATTAATTTCTCTTGTTTCCAGTGCACAGTATGGTCCTAAGTGAGTTACACAAACCATAAGCCTTTCTCCACCTGTGCAAATCTGGATTACAGTATTTATTACATCCTGTAGGGACTTTAAAACAATGCTCTGGACACTACAGTTTCCAGCCAAGTCTAAGCACATTGTGTCTCATACAAAATCATCTACTTAACAGTAGAATTATCTGATTTAGAAGTCTCCAAATACATAGCCAATGATTACTGAATGGTTGCATGGAATCCAAACCTTCACCATTAGCCACTGGTAATTAAAAAGCAAGAAAAGTGATAAACCCCACAATTTTCTAACCTGTTTTAAAATTTCTTACTGTACAGTAGTTTACATGACTTTCACAATGGGCTCAAGTACTTAAAACACCAGAATTACTTGCTCGGGTAAATAAGTAGCTCTGTGAGCAGCAGAAAAAATAAATTTACATTCCATGTCACTTAGGAGTATATGTGTATCTTCTGCCCCAGGCTAACATCAATTATATAGCATCTTGTGTCAAATTAATTGAAAGACCTGTGGTTATCCAACTATTTAAAAAAATATAGATACATTAAAAGTTGAACTAAAATCACGGGTATAATAAGGTCTTCCCTTGTATTTTCAAAGGACACTAAAGAGTAAGGAAATGGCCTGATGGCTAAGCAGAACTGATCTTGCTGACCATAAAAGATAAATAAATCTCACTTTTTTACCTAAGCAGTAACAAAAAACATTCTTCTGTTGTTCTGTATAGCTTGTGTGGAAATGTCATTTTCTATATAACTTGTGTGGAGGAACCACTCAGCAGCTTTTCTTAGAAGTCTCCACTAAATGCTCTAATAGAGGGAGAATGTTCTTCTGAACTCAGAAGATCAGAGATCTTTTTTTTTTTTTTCCCTTAAAAATGCATTGCAATAATTTTATCACAAAAAAAGTAAATTTTAGATGATCCTAAAAAACCCAAAATTGCCAAAGGTAGAGAAACACCACTATATACAACAGGTATTTATAGACTTTACACTGTACAAGATACAATAATCATTGTGAAGAATAGGATTATTTCATTTGTAGAATATTGCTCTTTTCACTGAAACAGATTTTTCTGAGGTGAAGCAAAGACTCAGAGAATGGTATTATTTGTTGTTCTTGCATTTAAACTGTAGGATAAACACTTAGACACCATTACTACTCCCATTTCTCAACTATTATAGTGGTCAGCCTGGTGTCCCCTTGCATATTGCATTGTCCAGACAAGATTAGAACTGAGCTTCTCCAAGCAAGGGGAAGAGATTCCATAGGGACTGATCTTTATTGGGAATATACCCATGCATACATTTTTTTTTTCTGTAATTGTAATTGATTCTATAAATCTGATTAAATGTAATTTTTGGAAATTTAGAACAAATATGTGCTATTTGGACCTGCTAATGAGGAAATAATTTTAAAACTAGATGCTGGACTTATTCCAAGGATATATTTCAGGAGTATTCTTAAATCAACATAGAATTATGACATCCTACAAGGGTGTTCTCACAATAAAAAATATGTTAAATGTGAATAGAACTAAAAGAAAATGTGAAGACCAGTAATTCAATGACATCTCTTTCCAAATACAAATTTGTAGTTCAGAACATTAGGTAAGGTTGTGCTATAGTGCTGTATTAGTATTAGTGTTTCTAATGAGAGAATCCTTAAACCAAGACTCTTAAAAAGAAATATAAGAAACTACCTATATGGTTCCAGGAGGGTGTGTTTATATTTCTTCAAAGTTAAATGTAAGCTGACATATAACAGTTTTCCTAATTCTAAGAAATTCTTATTCTCAGATCTGAGATTTAACCTTCTTGATCAAAAACTGTTGCTTGACTATCTCAACAATAATGAACTGATGGATATATCAGGTGCCAATATTCCCTTTCTAGATTGTTGAGCAGAGACCTTTACTTGCTTTTTTGTGTATTGGCATCCAAATTTATAAAAATAGATGACAGCAGGTAATTTTTTTTTGGAACAGGCTGCCCAGGGAAGTGGTAGAATCACCATCCCTGAAGGTGTTCAAGAAATGTGTAGATTAACTCAGGTTCAGGGTTTAGTGGGTATGATGGTGATGAGTTGACGGATGGATTGAATGATCTTAGAGGTCTTTGCCAACCTTAATGATTCTGTGGTTCTGTGATTCTGTAATCTAATGGTTGAAAGCTTCTACATATGCATAACAAGACATGGTAATTATTTTATTAGGGATTTAATTGTTCCAGCATACTTGAGTGGCAATAAGGTAATATGTTTATCCTGGTCTAAGAAATGTCATTCACTTTAATGTCAGACAATTGTAAAATACTTTTGATCTTACATTACCATATATCATATTGAAAATTAACATACAAAGCTCTTTGTACATGATGATTTTTAGTCCTCTTGCTGACCAGGTACTCTGTAAACTGACAGGAGTATCTTTTGAGAGCCAGTTATGTTTATATGATGAAAAACTTATAGCAGTGCTGACAGACTTAACATGAAAGTAAAAGGGTAATAGATTGGGAAGTTATCCCACTTGTAAGGTGGTCACTGAGGTTCTGCAGTTTCTTCATGATATAGTTATAATCAGAAGTATTTTGCAAAGTTACTGCAAAACTGTTTTACTGTAAAATTGCATGTCTTACACTTCTATTACAGTTTTGTTTACTCTTGTAGATTAAAGTGACTGTACCAGACTAGTAAATTTGTGATTGGAGAGGCCAAAGCACAATACATTTGTGTATATTCTAGACATTTTAAATGTTAATCCCTATAAAATGTTAGCATGAGAAATTCTGTTGATTAGTTTCTGTGAGATTTTGAGAAAAATGAATTTTTGAAAGAAAGAAACATATGGGCACAAGAGACAATACAGAAGATAACAAAATATGGGTAAACAGAAAGGCGAGTATCATTAATAGAGAAATGTGGATGAGAAATACTGGATAAAATTGGGAAAATGAACTATCTACCCCTGATGTGTGTGAGGATGTGAACACATAGTCTGGGTCATCCACAACAATATTTTGTAATAACTTTTTAATACATTAATAATTATTTGAAACTGAATAATTTTCTAAGGAATTCACTATTTATTGCTTGTGAGGCAAAGACAATATTAAGTGTATACTGTTGTTTGTGAGGCAAAGATAATATTAGGTAACAGTAAAAGGAAGTGAAGACAAATCAACCAAAGATTACTGGGATATAGGAGGAAGGAAGGGAGGAAGGAGAGAGTATACAGTTAATGTTGATTTGTTGATGCAAGGATGATGGGGAAAAGTGGAAGGAACTGGTTAGGTGTATGTTCAAAAGATGTGACTAAAAGATGAAAAGGATATTGAAATCTCTGGTAATATATATAGATTTTACTAATCTCATGCAAGGTGTTACCAAAAGGCAGGCATAGATGGATAACTAGAGTATAAAATTCAGTGTGCAACATAACAAAGTAATTATCTAATAAAGGCAGTCAGGTATGTTAAGAATAATTAATTGTTTTTCTTTTTATTTCAGGTGCTCTGAAACACTTACGTGCATTACAGGTTCTGTTGCTTCACGACAACCAGTTAAAAAAAACTTGTCAAAACAGTGAAGGAATTGAAAGGAATGATGAGCTTGCAGGCCCTAAGTAATACCTTATTCTTATTTTGCAGAACAGTGAGCAGTAGTTTTTTAGTGTTTCTTATCAGGATGTTTCTTGTCTGTTTCCACATCATTTGACAATAGATTTTGACGCTAATTATCAATTTCAACCAAATTTGACAGAAGAAAGAGATCTCTAAAACATGAAAAATCCACAGACAGTACCTCAACTAAGAAAAAACTGCCAAATGAGTTCAGAAGCTAACTCTTTTTGGCTGCTGGCTAGCCAGTCTCCTGGAGTAGCTTGGAGGCAGTCAAAGCAGTTTGCTGCTGCCTTTTTGTAAGGGAACGTGAGAGGACGGTGGGATTATCAAAGAGGTGAAGGGAGTTGAGAAATGTGTGTTGCTGCTATTGAGAGCGTGAGCAATAGGTTATAGAACCCAAATTCCTGCCTCATTAATTCTGTTGCTCATAGGACTTTCTGCATATTTTTCACAGACTCTGTGGATTTCTAGAGTCTAAGGATGAATATAGTCTAGATGGTAAGTATAACAGTATCTGTTAAGCATACTTTTTGATGTACTGGCTGGAAGTGAAAGTAACATAGGCTCTGAAATTTCAAATTAAGTTATACAAGAGAGTGTTGGCACCACTAAGTTGCACTGTAAGAATTAGCCTCCAGGGAAAGTAGGATTATATGCTATTAACCTATTGAAAGTGAAAGTGTAAGCAGTCTTTTTCCATGGTTCCTAAAAAAATGTCATCATAGGTCATGCCAAATGCTCAGTACTTTGCAAAAACAGGAAACAAGTTTTGTGTCTTAGTGGCACAACGAATGGAGGTGAATGTCATCAAGCCATACCTCCTTATGCACTCAAAAATTTGAATGTCTGATTGCAGGAAAGGAAAATATGGCTTAAAAAGAACACTTTTAATTGAACTTGACACTGGGCCAAAATTAAAAAAAAACAAATCAAGTGTTTAGAAAGACAACATGCCAGACAAATTATTGTAATATTTTTCTTTATATCCAAGATTGAAAAAATAATCCTTTTAAGAATGCAGTTGTTGGAAGTGATTAGGCAAAGTCTGGACAGACATCCTATTTCTGAATGGTTCAGTCACTTTAATTTAATGTTATAGCCCTACCAATTAATAAAGAGCTTCAAGAAGCACAGGGAGTTTGTTGTACTTGTTGCAACCATCTATGGGAAATAAAGACAAATAGTGGATAGTTAAAGTGCTGCCGAGCTATTATGAATGGCAGTCACAAAGACATGGTGAAGAATGGGTGCATGTTGTACTAGCCACCACCATAAAAAAAGCAAGTGTTTAAGAGAACTATCAAACAATATATAGAATATACCAGTCTACCCTGATAAGAAACTTGTTCTTTGGTTCAAAAGTATGAGACTAAATGCTAATCAGTGGAAGAAACTTAATAACCTTAACTTTACAGCCATTTGGTTTTGACCTCTGCAGTCATGAAAAAATTATTAATGTGTTTGTTTCAAAGAGATTTCTTAATAATATGTTCTATTGGTTTAATAACATGCACTGTCATTTTTGAAGTAAATGACAGCAGTAAATTTGCAAAATAAGTTTTCAAAGTCATATCCCATCTGTCATATCATATTACTATATAATTTGTTTGCCTACTTGCAATATTCAGAAATGTGAAATGGATATAGAATTTGCACAGTGTAGCTTTAAAAGGCCTGTGGTCATAATTCACCTTTATAAAATAAAAACTGTTTTGGCAGTGGGAGAGTTCTCACTGTTGTGAGGTAGATCTTTATTATTGCCGGACAATCCAATTAAAAAAAAACCCCCGCAGTTGACAGCCTTCAACAGAATGTCTGGAAGCATAATGACACTGCATTGTTTTGTAGTGCTTGGGGACATTAAAACTATTAAAATGGAGCAGCCTGATACACTGTTATTGTTCACTTCAGAAGTAGCATCCAGCTGACAAAATGTTGCATTTCTCTTCCTTAAGGCTCTCTAGTGATTTTTAGCCACTGCCCTGCACTGGATTTGTAGTGTAACAGAATTCTTCATCTGGTGTTTAGGGAAGACACTCAGCTTCTAAAGATTTACTGAGTGGGTTGCTCACAACTGCAGCCTTTTGGGAGATACAGAGGATTTTGCCTTGTGCTCACATTTCCCTTTTGGAATCCAAGATTTTTGTTATGTACTCTGTAAATTGCCTCAACTGATTTATTATCCACAGCTGATAACATCTTGCTGCTAGATCTCAGAAAACTCCTTTTGTTCTTCAATATGTTTCTACCACAGTAGTTCCTTTCTGCCCCATGTGGGTTAGGCACACTTTTTTCCTACACTCCAAATAGAGAAAACAGACAAAACTGTGGAGGAAGAAGCATTATCCTTAATTTGTAGAAGTAAAATTGCATGACCTTGACAAGAAAGTAGATAGCAGAGCCAAGAATTGATCCCAGATGTTTTGTAAAATAAGACCATCTTTATCCATAAAAAGGTTGGATTTATTGTAAGAACAGTAGAAAAATTAATATACTCTAACACAAACCTACAAATCAGTGTTGATGAGCAGGAACATAGCTCCAAGTAGCATCCAGATTCAAAAGTACTTAGTATGAACCCTGGTTTGTGCCTTGGAAAAATCTCTCTTGAATCTTCACCCCATTCCACAACCAAATGTACCTTCCTTTAGAGATCTTGCTGAAACATTTTTCTCTCTAGAATGCTATTACATATTTTCTTGACTCAAGAACAGACTTATGAGATATATGCCTAATAGTCTTTGTGATTAACACTTTTAGAAAAAACAGCTATATACTACGTTGTTCGGTAAAAAATGAACTTTCTTTTGCTGCCACCTTGTGGTCTCTCAGTACTTCTAAGTACAGCGATTTAAAAAAAAAAAATAATGTTAGAGTGTTAAATTTTAAATTCTCCTCTGAATACACGAACAGGCGTTTTCTATGCAAGAGATACCAAATGCCCACTCCAGCCTTACTACACCCTCAAAATAACTGCTAAATTGCGTCAAGCACTGAGCCCTCTTTGGCAGTCATACTTACCCTGAAGAATGTGAAATGGCATTTTATAGTTTACAAATCTGTGTGGAATATTTCCAGACTTTTTTCTTCTTCTAGTATATCTTATTTGATTTTGTAAAATTACATACAACATGATTTTTTTACCCTAGAGTGAATATTACCCACAGACTCCTCAAAAAGAGAAAAACAGACTAGTGCAGACATTGGCAGAAGCTGGCAAATTGATTAATTTATGATATTTTTCTTCTCTGCTCTGACCTTAAGGTAGCAGCCTCCTAATTATTTTTACTGTCTCAGAAGAACAGCATTTCTATAAGGAGAAAAATAGCATTATTATGTTTTTTGTTTAGAAAAACAAAACAAAACACAGAAACCCACCCAACAACACTTTGTTTGTTTGTTTGTTACCTCATCTGGAAATAAGCCAGTTTCGATTTTAATAAACCTGAGATATCACTTCCATGAAACAAACTGATCTGGCATGTCAGCCAGGCAAATGTTCCACCTCTGGCAAAGCAGCAACACAGCAATCATTCCTGTCTCTGTGTTGCAAAGGTTTGGTTATTCCGGTAACGTGAACCTGAACGTGAGTCTTTTAGTCAAGCTGCTAATGGGCTTCTGGAGCTTAGTACCTCAAGTCTTAATGAAAGTTAGTGGGCCCCAGGATCTCAGGAACTTAGGCCCTTTTAAACATTTTACTCTTGAAGTTTCTTGAGTTTTCCAAACTCATTATCTGTCAAAACATTAGAAGACTGAGAATTTACATTTTATGTTGTGTCTATGGGATAAAAATACTTAGCATTTTCATCTGTATATTGTAACAAAATAGAAGAAAAAGATGGAAGGTTTGGAGTGCATGAAGGCTCGGTTCTTGTGTTCTTGCCTGTGTATTTTGCATACTCTGCAATAAGCCAATTCTTGCAGTCCGTGTTTAGATGTGTAATTTTGCAAGTGTAAAGAGACTGTGTTTTGTTTACCCAGCATAAGAACAATTTCAATTTGATAATTTTTCTGTACAAAATCCTTGGTTACTTAGTGATCTTTAATTTTCCTGCCTTGCTAAATTAGTTGGGTTTTGTGTTTTTTTTTTGGTTGGTTGGTTTTTTTGCTTTTTTTTGTTATGTTGTTTGTTTTTTCTGTGTCCATTTTGCAGACCTATTCCATAACCCTCTGCTGCAAGATCCAGACTCCTGGTTTTATGTGATCTACTTCCTTCCTTCAGTACAGCTCCTAGGAGAGGAAGCATAAGGATTTCTTTCCTCTTCTCACAAAGCATTGACAGTTGCTTTTGATTTTAATCAGTTTGGAAAAATAGGTGAATTAATCTTGCCTATTCTTTTACATGAATTTGTTGATATAGCAGAAGATCTAATGAACAGATAGATACTCATTTTTTTCAAGGTTTGTCAAGCAAATAGAATTTGTATGTCATAAACAGTTTGTCAAATGCTTTTGATTTCTGTCTTTTTAAATTGTGTATGTTTATCTTGTATCTTGGTCTGTATATTTTTGGGTAAGACAGAAGCCTGTGCTTAGAAACGTGTACCTACATTTGTGCATTTAAACTGGTATATTCACATGGGTGAGCATGTTTACTTAGATATGGATAATATCCTCAGCTACCTACCTGCTTCTGTACAGTTTAAACATGTATATGCACATTTCTTGATGAGGTACATGCTGACCAACCTTTCAAATATAAATCTTCAAAAATTGTCAAGAGATCTTTCACACCGTGTCTACTGTAAATTCTACAGAAGAAAAAATGTCTTAAGAATAGCCAGATGGTAAATCAGTCAATCCACAAACACGCCACAGCGGACCCAGAAAATCAACTTTGGTGCTTTTTGTCTCTGGTGTTTGCAGAGCTAGGTGATTGGCAGGAGGACTGAAAATTACTGGAGAGCACTGAAAGGTGTTGATTCCTACCTCAGCTCTACCTCGTAAAGAAGTAGCAAGGAGAAACAAAGTGATCTTGAAAACCTGCTCCCAGTCTCCAGGAGAATCAGTTTGCAGGACTTGAGCAAGGCAGCCACAGGACATCTGCAGGTGCTGTGTAGCTCTGTTGTGACAGAAAGCTGGTGGATGGGCCGCAGCACGTGTCAGGGGTTGATGAGGAGCTGCTGGATCTGACCACATGGCCATTTGCCTACACATTCATTTTGCACTGGTCCTCCAGTCTCTTGAATACTTGGTCTTGTGTTACATGTGTGCTTAGCACGTCTGTCAGGCTGTTTTACTAATGACCATTTTTGACTAGGGAGCGATGACTGAAGCTTAATGTGCTGGAAAATACGTGTTACATTTACAGCTCTAGAAACACTTCCGTAAAACTTCCTGGACATAATCTCCTACAGTTATACTGTAATCACTCCTGGATTAAGACTTGAGGCATTAATTTGTATCATGCTGTACCCTGGACTTTCTATTTAGTGAACTATTTCTCCAGCATTATAAAGCTTCTTCACCATCTGTGGAACATTATCACAGCATAGTCCTGGCTGTCTCCTTTCCACAAGACATGTGCTCACACTTGTGTTACCTCCAGGCATGACTACTGCAGTTCCTTCCGCATGGGTCCCCTAGACACTATGACTTAAAAACTTCCCTGAATTCAAAATGCTTCTGCCAGACTCAGTTACTTGTTCTTAACCTTGAGCTCATTTCTGTTCCACAGCTGAAGTACTAGATTACTGTGCTGTTCATATAATTGAATTTAAAATCCCCTATTTGACTTAACAGTCTCAAACATTTTGTTTAAAATTTAAAGTTATTTTTGAATTAAAATGCAAAAAAGAAAAAAATGAAGCTTTTCTTTTGATTGCGCTCCTACAGTTTTCTCTGTAATTGAGCAATGGGAATTGGACTGGCCTTGAACCAGGACTTGTTTTTGCTATTCATACAGAGACTTCCAAATCTTTACTGACTTCTGCAGTAGATCTCATTTAAAAGGTATGAAAAGTTTTGCTTTCTAGTTTCTTGGTTTAAAACTTCTGATCCTACTGCACTAAAAATAAAAAACTATTTTATTGGACCGGGCTTCACCCTAAAGCCGAAATTATGCAGGTTTACACTGCTATTGTTACAAAACTGCACAAAAAAAGTGAAACATCTTCTGCATGCAAATAGGTGATACCAACCTTTTAAGTTAGAAAAAAATAATTTTTTTATGTGCCTTTTAACAGCAGTTGCACAAAGAGAAAGGGAGTCAGCGCTTCATCTTTATAACTGCAAAAGGTCTTGTCTTGTGCAATCAATAGCTTTTGGAAAGAGAGTAAATACCCCCCTGGAGACTACAGTGGGATCCAGCCGATGCACTCAACCAGCCAGAAGACTGATGATGCCCTCGGGTATTTATAATAATGTAAGGAAAAGCAGACATTTTTTAGGTGATTTGAATCAGAAAATGTTTTTTTCATTCATCTGATATAAAATTATTTTTTTTAGTGATAAAGTATAAATGCATCAGGAACTCAACCGAATTACTTCATAAAGTAAGTAGCAGTAGTAGCAGTAGTAGCAGTAGTAGCAGCAGCAACAGGCAACAAATGAATACTTCTACTAAGAGTATTGTGGCAAATAAGTTCTAGTTACTCCCTGTAGTTACAGAATTGTCTTTAAAGGTAGCTGAACAAGCTAAATTTCATTTTTTTTTCAATATGTGCCTTGTGAGTGTTTAGTTTTACTTTTATTTAATTAAAAAGCATATCAATACACTTCTGTCTCAGACAGTGATCAACATCATAGAGCTTTGATGCCCTCTAGTGCTTTTATAAAATAACACATTGGAGAAAGTATTTTCTTCTAAATATAGTTTAGATATCTTGCCTAATTTGGAAGCAGACTCCTTTTCATGCTTTCCAAGCTGAGAATATTTTAATGATGTCTTATAATATCATATAAAGTTATTTTTAGAGTTCTTAAAACATTCAGATCTGGAAGACAGCATGATCCTGGCACAAGAAAGCAGGTGAATACCACCTGGAACCTTGTGACTTGTACTGCATGAGAATCCAGAACCAATCTTGAAATCTTACATAAACTTGTCTGCTTTTTGATGTTTTAAAGATAAGAAAAACAATATTTGCATAGTGCATTGTTGACTGAAATGGCAGCATTTTAAACAGCAGTGTAGAGTGTTAAAATAGATGCAAATTTTTTTTACTGTCTTTATCCCGAAAGCAGTATATTTAACAATTTTGAAAAGTCTGGGAAACAAAGGATAGTTAAATAGTATCTAACAATTCATTTGTTTTGCTGATAATTATCAAAGTAGGCATAGAATTGTCTTTACCTTGCAATCGTTCACATATATTGACAGTGACATCACTTTTCTGTGAAAGAAAAAAAAATACATAGAAATGTATTTCTATGGGAAATAAAATACAAGAACTACCTAAACTTAAAAAAACCCAAACCCAGCAGATACTTGTTTTCACAGTAATTTAATAATATGATCCTGAACATTTCAAATAATCTGCCAGTTTTCATTTCATTTGAACAATTAATTTAGGATCAAGATGGTAATCCTCAGCTAATCAAAATGCTGTATAGCCATTAATGTCTCAATTTGAACTTTCTGTTATAGGATGTGAATTTGTATTTACAAATAAGTAAATTTTTTTGCTTTTTTTTTTTGTTTTGCATCTCTGAAATATTTACTTAATTTCCTCTTCTCTTGCCTAAAAAATACCCTAACCAGAGAATAACTCCAGTAAAAATGAGCTTTTGAAAAAAATTCTGGTCTTTGTACTTAACATAGTTGCAACTCTAGATTGTTCTGACGAGACAACCTACCCGCTGCTCTCTGAAATTTAATATTGAAAAGTATTCCACATTTGGAAATGGGTATATAAAAATGCTATTTACTTATAAGATCAAATACTGATCACTAGAGAAAACACGCTTTAAGTATTAGAGCATCAGAATAGCTGTTCTATATTATGGACCAGAAAACTTTATCCAGACTGGCTGTTCAAAAACACAGACTCTCTGGAAATTATTATGACTTGTAGCATGAAAATTTTTAGTCTGTACTTGATATTACTTTTGTTCTGTTTGGTTTCAAAATCATAGAAATAAATGTAAAACTTATCTCTTATCTCTGTCTCTGGATTGAGGCAGTATAAAGGTTGTATTTTAATGTGATGACATATTTAGATGCCATCTTTATAAGAGTAAATTTACAAACTTCAGACATCAGGCTTGTTGTTACTTTTTAGCTTTACATATGAAAATATTTGAAAAAATTATTAAAGGAAATAATAAAAGCCTACATATGATGATATAATTTAACAATGTGATTTTATATAGCTACCCACTTTGAGTACAGCTCTTTACAATCAAGCTAATTTATGTTTAAAAATGAATTCTTACCTCCTTTCAGTGGACTTAGCTGTCCTCATTGATAAAATGGATGTACAGGTTCCTCTCCATCTTCTGTAGATGCTTAGGATTTGCAAGGTACCTTTTCATGACAAAGTGTGTTATACTCAGTGGAAATAGTCACATGGTTTTTATTAGGTGTGTATTGCTCCAAGTGCATCTTTATGAAATAAGTTCTTATAAGATCAGATTTTCATATTGTATCGAGTTAAAAGGTTGTGGTCTAAAAAGAAGTCCTTGTTAATTCTGCATTGATGTTGTGAGTCTGACCCTTTCCTCTCCCAGGCTGCAGCTGTGGCAGGGTACATGAACAACACAAGCTCACAAGTTCTGGATTCGGAGCTTGGAGAAGGGATATTTGCGTGGTGGCGAGTTAAAAGATCCTCGTTGAAATAAATGTGCATTTGCACTAACGGGTATCTGTCACGGTCCACTGTTAGGCAGGACAATTTAGCAGAAGTTAAACCCCCCAGCTTTCCAACCCACCTCAGATCATTCTGGGTGGCTGGGGGCAGCTGGGCTTAACTCCTGAGTGGGGTCCAATTAGGTATTGTGACCAGGTTCTCTATATTCCCAGGAACAGAATGAAGACTCAAAACAGAGTCACGTGCCAAGTCACTTTCTTTGGCCCCCAAAAGAAGGGAGGTACCACCACTTCTTGGCAATCTCTTTCAGTGTTTAAATGCACTCCAGAGCATTTTTCTTATATGCAAATGGAATTTTACCTGCAACAGCTTGGGACTGTTGGCTACTGTCCTGCCACCATGCATCCCTCATCTTCTCTGCAGCTACCTCTAGGCATTTTAAGACTACGATTAGATCTCCCCGAGTCTTTTCTCTGGGCTGAACAAACCAAATTCCTCCAACCCTCTGATCATCGCAGTGGCACCCTTGCTGAACCTCTCTTGTTTTTTAATGTCTCTCTTGAACTGAATTGACTGAAATGAGACACAGTATTCCAGATGTGGCCTAGCAACTGCCAAGTCAAGTGGAGTAATTACACCTTTCATCTGCTGGCTGTACTAGACTTTGTCTTCACCGATGCATGGCACCATTTACCTTTGGTGCTGCCAGGGCACACTGCTGGCTCCAGGCAAGCTTGCTGCCCACCAGGACCCCCAGGCCCTTTTCAGCAGACCCAGGCAGATCCCAGTCTGTACTGCTGCTTGGGATTACTCCATCCCAGATACGGGACTTCGTTAAATCTCATAATTCCTTTCACCTTTTTGATGTTAGATTCCTTCCTTTTTTATTTCAACTTCCCTATTTTTCTGGCTTAAAGTTCCATGCATTAAGTACCCTTAAATTAGCTGCATCTTTTTAAAGGTTCTAAAAGGTAGCTCAACACCTTGGTTTTGATTAGGTTTTGAGACCATTTAATTTCTCAAATTGCATCAGTCTACAGAGAAGCTAGCCCAAAATGAGCTTCGGCTAATATGTTTTCTTAAAGAGGTCCTCCTTAAGTAAATGTCCCGTCGGATTTAGTAAGTGCAATCTCTAGTTTGTCTTCTTCTGAACTCCGACAGCTGACTGTGCTCATGGAGGTGGTCTATGATGTAATCAGTCCATAGCAGCAATTTCACAATCCTAGAACCTGTAGATTTTACATGTCACGATAGACATGGAAAAGTTTAAAGAGACTTTCTGTGAAAGCAGACTGTATCCCACTTCGAACTCGGAGCTAGACTAAAGTAGTAAACAATGTCATTTCTGAGGAAATTTCACCGATTTCAAATTGTTGTATCAAATTAGAGGCACAGTATTTCTGGCCTGGAAGATTTTTCTGCCCCTGTCTTCTTTTGATTAAAGGAAAATTAAAATTAAATGAAGAATTGTTTCAGTTTTCTGCTCAGAGAATGCTGCAATGCAATGTTTCAACATAAAGAATTTTATTACAGAATCCCTTTTAACGACTAATTTAACATTTTCTCCAAAGAATATAGATTTTGAAAAGAAAACATACATTTTACAGGAGTAACTGTTTAAGAATTTTAAAAAGACTTCTTGTAATCTTTTTGAGAATACAGATGGGCTCAGAGAAGAAGACAGTGAATTAGTTTATACATATATAATCTTTGATGGTGAAAAATCCATCAAAATCTCTTAGGTATTTTGTCCCTCCCACTGTTGCACCCAAGTGTCCCAGGAATACATAGATTAAACAAACAAACAAACCTACCATGGCATCCAGAAGCTCTTCATTGTAATGTTTGCTACCTGTTCCCATTTCTAGTCTGTAAACGTTGGAAGCTGTCCAACAAGCCACAAGTCAGTAGAATCACTGACTAGCCAACACAGTCACCTTATTTAAAAGCTGAGCTTTGTCAAAAGGTTTCAGTCTGTTTTAGAGTCATTAGTGAAAAAGGACTAATGTTGGCTATTTATATATGAAAAAATACTCAAATTACAACGGTAATTTGAAGTTTTGCTGAAAATTCCCTTTAGCTAGATGAAGAAAAACCTTAAAAATCTACCTGCATTAAAACATCTAAACCAGGGGTCCTCAAACTTTTT